TGTCGAGATCGTTATTTATTCGGCATTTCAAAAGGTGCGGTGGTTCTAATCTTAAAGATGTAGGGACTACATTGTGAACGTTTGTTTACATATTTTTTATATTTCTGGCTATATAAATATAGCAAAATTTAGCGTTATAACAAATAAGTAAAAATCACAAATAAATGGTTTGTTTGTTTAAATGTTAACAACTAATTTTGGCGAAAGCAGTAAGTTCGTTATTTCAAAGATTTATCTTCATACCAATCTTGGCTTCATCCCGTACAGAGGTATGTTAAGGGCTTGTATTTAAGGTTATGTTTTAGCCAGATATAGACTGTGATGCCTGATAAGTGGATTAACGTAATTATAAAGTCCCTTTGTATTAAATTGTGATAGTTAATTTAGACAAATGACCTCTGTATCGAATTGTGATAGATAATTTAGACAAATCCTGACTTCGCCCCGTACAGGATGAGAGGGAAAGAGAGAAGAAAACATTGAGAAAATATGGCGAAACAAAATGACATAATGTTTTTTTTTTTTTTTTTTTTTTTTTTTTTTTTTTTTGCTAGGGAATTTGTAGTTATTTATTTAGTTATTTTGATGGCCCGTGAATCCAGTACCAGAATTAGTCGGAGGTGGCAGTTCCGGTGGTATCAATGAATATATAAGTTAAACTATTTAATAAAGTAAGGTGTAAAAGAGGATATTATGCAGATTAAAAGGGAGAACGATTAATTTATGTTCAAGTTAAATCATGGAAAGATAATGATGGAATGGGTGTGAATGTCTCAATTCCTTCTTACATACATTCTTATTTTGTTTATGTTAATGAATATTGAATTATAAGTAGTAGGAAAAGGGGGGGGTATTGAGTTAACCTCTTGTTTATATTATATTCCTTACTAAGATTTACATTATAATATGCCACCTGTTGATTATTATTTAGTTGCAGAATAAAATGATAATGATAAAAATGTTTCTATAACCATTGTATATTTGGCACACACAAAACGGATAAATTCAATCCATCCCACGAGCCTTCAGTCCGTTAATGTCACGCTACCCAAATTATTTGATACTAACAAGATGAGCAACGGTAAATCTTGGTAGAATATTTTATTATTTAGAATATAAAAAAATCCGTCCCTCATACACATATATATGTATGGGTTTGTCTGTGTGTGCATGTATTTATGCATGTATATAAATATGTATGTATATGTATATGTATATATATATATATATATATATATATATATATATATATATATATATATATATATATATATATATATATATATATATATATATATATATTATATATATTTGTGTGTGTGTGTGTGTGTGTGTATGTATGTATGTATGTATATATATATATATATATATATATATATATATATATATATATAATGTGTGTATGCACGGATGTAAATACACAAAATTTTCACTACATTTAATTTCCCAAACCAAGACATGACCGGCCAAGCGCTTACCGCCAGATGCAGGTCGGGCATGTAGTCGATGTTGTCCAGGAGGTAATGCTCGACGCCGACCTCTCCCTCGGCGCTCCTGTAACACACGCTGATGTCCGCGTTGGTCATCTGGTGGCCGTCCCTGCTGAAGCCTATGGCGAGGTAGCCCTGAAGGGACCATCGCGAGTTCAGGGTTGAGGATGGATGGGAAGTGGGATTCAGCTTTAGTTTGTGTTGTTTCGTGTTGTGGGAACGAGGAAAAGGGACGGGAGTGAGGGAATGGATGTATTCAAAGAGAATATCGGGTCATATTTGGGAGAAACGAAAACAAATTCCAGGGGGTTCATGCTGAGAATCTATGAATATGTGTTTGGAAAACTTAAAGTTCTGCTTTGATCTTCTATTGCGTAATTCTGAATTACTGAAAAGGCCCGCGTTTGTTATTTCAGTTGGTAACCCTTGACCTCACTTTGTGATTCCTTAATTTAAGCAGTATCACTTCACATAAAATTGTAAATGAAAATAAGGACTTGAAATATTAGATTATTCGGATTCTCAGGTTACTAGTCATACAAGTAGTATAGTGTGTAGCGATTTAGAACATTTTAAAAACGATTGAATAAACTGATATTTCATGCGATTGCGGGAAACGCAGTTAAGGATTAATTGATGACTTCATACAAGTAGTATAGTGTGTAGCGATTTAGAACATTTTAAAAACGATTGAATAAACTGATATTTCATGCGATTGCGGGAAACAGTTAAGGTAGATTATGACCATCTATTTCAAAAGAAAGAAAAAATATTCCTTCTAGGCTAATCTTATATGAATGCCCTTGAGCAGAAGACGGAATAAAAGAAATTCATATTTACTTCCTCGTCCGCCAGCAGACCTCCCAGCGTGAACTTGACCCCCGTCTTGGCCGCTGTGAACTCCATGGCAGCTGTGTAGCGCGCGGTGTGGGCCTGGCAGTCGCTTCCGCTGTAGCCCGTGCAGTAGCGGAAGCAGCTCTTGACCACCGCGCAGTCCTTGGTCGACACAGCTGGAATGGGTACAGAGTCTGATGTAGTGACGCGCCTTATATATAAGAGAAAAAATGTATTATATAAAAGGAAATTGTGAATAGGGAAAGAAAGGTTATTCTAGTTTAAATCATAACAGCTACAAATCACCCATCCTGGGGCCAGATTCTCAAACGCGTTAAGGCGCCGTATCTCCTTAAGGCGCCTTAACTTACATACACATACACAGAGCAAGGGACCCGCCATATTGGTGCGAATTAAGGCGCCGTAGGTTAAGGCCGGGGGAGAGCAGCCTTCAGCGCTTTACGGCGGGTGGAAATCAACTCTCTTCGCTCCTCTATAAGGGAAATACAGCAGGACGGGTAAGGCCTCCAACACGCCTTAACTTGAGGCTCTTTTGAGAATCCGGGCCCTGGCTTCGATATCCCTTCAAACAATCAGACTCTCCAGCACCAATAGGAAGACTATTGATCGCCAACGCCCATACAGCCAGTGGCACTTGTTGCGCCTCAACCGGAGCGTACAGCCAATGGCTATCAATGGCACCGATTTAGCGCATCGACTCGTGGACGCACGACTAGACTCTTTTTTTAGTGCGTGACTCGGGCGACTTGAGTTTATGGCAACACTTACGGGAAGCGATATAAATTTTCTTCTAATATAAAAGTAAGCGTATTTTGCGTTCAAATCCTGGTGAAGTTGAAAAATATAACGTTCTATTTACGGAAGAAGTATGAGTTTTTTTAAAAATCTTTACGTAAGAAATATGATTCGCTGCACGAATATATATTTTGAAAGGCTCGTGTTCCAGACGGAATTATTTCTCTCTCTAGACCAGCGGTTCCCAGACTGAATGCCACGTCACCCCAGGTTGCCGCGGCAGCCTCTGGGGCGACGCAGACGGGATTCCGTGATAAGGTAAATTTCGCTTCTAAATTTCGTCGCTCTCCTTCTTCTCGTAAGCATATGTAAGCGTGTAACCTGTGTTTGTTTTTTACAGTCTTCAGTGATTCGTGGAGCAGGACAAGATGCACTTTGTTTGAAACATAAATCCATATGAGGTGGAAAGATGCATATATGTGTGTGTGTCTATATATATATATATATATATATATATATATATATATATATATATATATATATATATATATATATATATATATATATATATATATATATATATATATATATATATATATATATGTGTGTGTGTGTGTGTGTGTGTGTGTGTGTGTGTGTACATTTATATATAAAGGGCAGAAGGGTATTTAGGTCGTGTCAATATATAACAATAAAAGATTATAAGAAATTATTTTTTCCTATTACCAGTTACTACTACTTTCAGTATATTCTAATACTCAGATTCCTATCAACAAACGGCAGCAGATCGAAGACATTGCTCGCACGCAGTAGTACCACAGAACAGTCTTATTCACTTTCTGCGTTACTTCAATTCACATACTTTTAGTCATTAACAATTACCATCTCCGATTTAGGCGTTGAACTTTTGTGAATCCTGTGACCTCGATTTTCCACGTGTTCTGGCATCCATTGCGATGTTGCATAATTTACGTGCAAGTTAACGTGCAAAAATTCCTCGTGAATTTTCAAAGCATACAGATTTTAGGTAAAGGAATCGACCTATGTTAAGCAAACTTTTCTTGTCAAAGTGTAGAAAGTTATTGTTTGTTTGTTTTTTACATATTAAAGTCAATGTCTATTTCTAGGTATGTGTACAACAATTAATATTCTAGCTATCCGAATTTTCGTTTAAGATTAATTATGATTTGCTTCATTCATCGTCAGCCTTGTGTCTTCATGTATGTAGCGATTCTTAATGGCAATTTATTTCTACGTGAAGACAAACAAGTCTTTCATCATTAGAGTTATTTTTCCTTGTCATTCGTGAATCCGGTCGCGGGAGAGATGGAAGCTCGGATATTAATTCAGTGAAGTAATTTGTCGGTAAATCTTTAATCTCAATAAATTTTAAAGAACATATATCTCTTCCCTTTCATTTACAAAGTCATCATATCATCATCGTCATCATTATCATCACTGTTATTATAATTATTATTATTGTCATTATTTTTATTGTCATTATCATCATTATCATCATCATTATCACCATCATTATTATTATTGTTCCCAACATTATTATTATCATCATTATTGTTTCATCTCAATCGTCATTTTTCCCTTCCCCCATCTTCTCTTCCTTTCTTCCTTCCTCTTCCTCTTCCTCCTCCTCCTTTTCTTCTTCTTTTTCATCATCGTCTTCTTTCTTAAGGGTTACATTAAGTTACATGCCAAATTCATGACTCGTAGAATTTGGATATTAACCAAGATTGGGGGGCCTGTCAGTAGTCTCCATTAGTCACGCTGAAGGACACTATTAGTATAGCGTGCATACTCTCATGGATTATTCATTTGATGGATTTATGATTGTGAATGAACCAAGCTGGAGGGAAGCTCTAGGAATTTTTTGTTTTTTGAAACCAAAATGATGAAAATTATCTTTAATTCTACACATACACACACATCATTATATTTGCATACGCAGACATAAATGTACATACACACGCATATATGATACATATATATATATATATATATATATATATATATATATATATATATATATATATATATATATATATATATACATATATGTATATATACATATATATATATATATATATATATATATATATATATATATATGTATGTATATATTATATATATATATATATATATATATATATGTACATATCTATATATCTATATACATATACATATATACACATACATATATATATATTATATATATATATATATATATATATATATATATATATATATATATATATATATATATATATATATATATAATATACATATGTGTGTGTGTGTGTGTGTGTGTGTGTGTTGTGTGTGTGTGTGTGTGTGTGTATATATAATATATATATATATATATATATATATATATATATATATATATATATATATATATTATATATGTATGTATGTATGTATGTATGTATGTATGTATGTATGTATGTATGTATGTATGTATGTATGCTTGAGTGTGTATTTTATATAGATAAATCACAGTGAAATAAACCCTAGTAATAGTCTTTTTTCTGTAACCTAGACATAATGCATTTGTCATTTTCGAAAACATTCTCATATGTAAAATAAAAGAATGTGTGTTAGAGACTCAAACTTACAACTTTCTCAAATCGGTGTCAGTACACAATGTAAGGATATAAACACAGATAAACAAGTCACAATGGTAAAACACAGCTAAGAGGCACCGATGAAAAGAAGCGACAGTTGAGAAAAAAGTAACAGGATATTTGGAATCTGCAGAAGGCTAAAATTCCTGTAGGACCAAACAGGCTGAAAATGCTTTGGTGTGGGCAAAAAATTTCAGTATGTAAATGTGCGTGGGTGTGCGTATATACATACATATATATATATATATATATATATATATATATATATATATATATATAATATATATATATATATATATATATATATATATATATATATATATATATATATATATATATATATTGAATAAAATAAAAGGTCATAGTATGAATATCTTATATGAAGTAAAATCTGGCATCCTAGAAAAAAAACAGGATAATTTTGTCGAACAGAAATGTGTAAAAATGCCCAAGTCTTGAATCTTTTAAGCTATCCCACTGAACTATACAGCCTGGCAATTTCTTCCCAGGCTTAGAAATAGATGGAACAAAATATCTAGAAATATGCGACAGCCAATATCGGTACCAGGGGGATTTCAGTCATATCAGCACTTAGTTAATCGAACAGGCAGAGAGAATATGAAGGAAATGCGGGTTATAAAAGATGCTCAGTATCATCATATGTCTGAAACTAAATTGATAGGGAGTCACTTCACTGCTAATTATTTAGATTAAGAGTGAAAATAGCTAAATTGAACACCCTGTCAAGCAACTTAGTATGATCGATAGTCAGCAACAATGTCATTTTCACATTTCACCAAATAGACTTTCTGCATAATACATAAAAGCGACAGAACCACGATAAACAACTGCAGTTAACTCATCAAATACTGTAACCTTGAGTTCGAGTAAGAATCTGCTGAAAGCCTCTAATGCGGAGGCAAAAAGAGGATTTTAGAAGAGAAATTGTGTTTTTGAAATGGCGTTGTTTTATTTTTCATTTAGTTAAACCAGAATTATTGGATCACCAAAGGAACCGTTAAATTCGTAGATTTTTCCACACACAAAACTTTCCGTCACAAATAGCAAGTAATATAGACGTTTGCTATTAGAGATAACCACCAATCGTATGTCATGTTGCATTTCAAACTGCCAATCAAAACGCTCATTTCATTTCGTCTGTATTAAAACCAAATCAAACAAATGAAAAACTATGAGTGATTCGTGTCCAAATTTGCTTTTAAATCCCTGCCATTAATTCTATGCATCAAATATTTATACCTTCATCTTCATGAAATCAGAACTACCGAAATTGGGCAATGCAATGACGATAACGCTATAAACCGGTAAACACACACACACACACTCAAAAAAAAGGAAAAGAAAAAGAGATAATATAATATATAGATATATATATATATATATATATATATATATATATATATATATATATATATATATATAGACTATATATATATATATACTACATATATATATATATAGAAATCACATATACCTGAAAAAAAAATCCGTCAATCAAAACAGAATCCGAAAAAATAAATTAATACATGTACTTTCAGGAGAACAATGGCTTATTTGATTTATGTGACAGATATTATTTCCAATATTCGTTTCCTCAAGTATTATGACTCATGGTTACGTAACGTATTATAAACGTCATTTGTACTTGACAGACCGTACAGTGCGCTTCGAATGCCTACTTATACTGAATGTTTGTTTATCTTTCTGTATTTGCCCTCCTACTGATTTGTCTGTTTTTCTTTCGATTCTTCTGCTTGTCC